CCTGATTGATTTTATTCATCGAGACATTGCGGGAGGCACAGACACTATGCATGGTCATAGCTGGCACGGCCACTGGGTATCGCAGCGCTCGTGTGAAAGTGGTGCTTTTCACGGCCGTTGGGTTCGCACGCATGGAATAGCCGTGCTGGATTTCAAGGCCCCAGCATGTTGGCACCTGGTGTAACCAGGGTCGCTGCGACATCCACGCCGCACGCCAAGCAGGACGAGACAGGCGTGAAGCCGTGGAGGGACAGGCAGAGCGCCAGCCCGATGACGCTCAAAGCAACAAGTACACTTCGAATGCGGACGGCGGCTTCTATGAGGAGATCGGGCAGAGAAGCGAGCATGACGATCCGCGGCTCGCCGGGAAGAAGCCGATGCCGCGCCGCAGCAGGAGAGGGGAGATGCTGGCACACTGCTGCTCGATGCACGACCTGGCCGTCGCTAGCCCCGCCTTCACCGACACGTTTGAGGACCTCCTCCTCCTCCTCCTCCTCATCATCCTCCCCCTCCTCCTCCTCCTCCTAGCATGGACACTCGAGATCGACGAGCGGCGTTCCGACTCGATGACATGCTGCGTGGCGTGCGCCTGCCGTCACGGGTCCGGCAGTGCACTGTAGACCCTGCTGTGGACATTTGTCCGGACCATGCCCCGCCCACTGCGTCTTGGCGTCGCGCCCCCCTGGTAACTGGCGGCGGAGAGTACAGCAAGCCCATTGCTCTTGATGGAGCCCGAGGACATCATACATGGCGGAGCTGGAGTTGTTTCTTTACGACGTCGAATGGAAGGCGCATTCTGCAGCGAAGAGGATCTGTCAGATGAATCGTTGCATGGGGGCCGCAGCCTGTGCACATATATATATATATATATATATAGAAAGAGAGAAAAGAGAGAGAGAGAGAGAGAGAAACAACAAAAACATTAAGAAAAGAGAAAGAGAGAGAGAGAGAGAAAAAAAAAAGGGGGGGAACAAAAAAAAATGCATCCGCTGGGGCACGGGCGCGCCCTGAAGGGCGATCGAAGCCGTAGGGGGGCGCGCTCTGATGCGCAGCCCGCCCCGCAGGGACGTGCGCACGCCCAGAGAGGGCCGCCCGCGCCCAGAGGGGCCGGCCAGCACGCCCAGGAGTGCGACATCTGGGCCTGCCGGGAGGCGAGGGCGCGCCTGGCGGGTGGGCGGCGCGCTGCGCGACCGCGGGGGCCACGGCGCGCCCCCAACGCACCGTCTGCGTGCCCGCGGGCACCACGGTCGCGCGGCAGGCTCTGTGCGCGGGGCAGGCTGCGCCTGCAACCTCCTCCTCCTCCTCCTCCTCCTCCTCCTCCTCCTCCTCCTCCTCCCCCTCCTCCTCCTCCTCCTCCCCCCTCCTCCTCCCCCTCCCCCCCCCCTCCTCCTCCTCCTCCTCCTCCTCCTCCTCCTCCTCCTCCCCCTCCTCCTCCTCCTCCCCCTCCTCCTCCTCCTCCTCCTCTCCTCCTCCTCCTCTCCTCCTCCTCCTCCCCCTCCTCCTCCTCCCCTCCTCCTCCCCCTCCTCCTCCCCCTCCTCCTCCTCCCGCCGATGTGTCCTTCTCGATCCGCGGCACCCCGACGCGCGAAGCCGTTTAGGAAACGCGCCCACAGAAGGAATCGAACAGGGCAGGGCTGTTTAGTAAACGCCCAGGGCCGTTTAGTAAACGCCAATTCCAGGGTCTGGGTGGTTTTTCCTCCCTTGACCGGGAGGGCCCAGCACGATTCTCGGCCCGCCCAGAGTGTGGCGGGCGCACTCGCGCGATCTGCATGCCCGTGGCGCCCGCGCCTCTGGAGCGGCAATGCGAGCCCAGACGGGGCTATGAGCACGCTCGGGTCGCCATCTGCGCCCACAGGGGCGCCCGCGCCTGCTGGACGCGCCCAGAAGCGCCGCAGCGCGCTCGAGTTCCCAATCGGCGCCCACGGGGTCGCCCACAGCGGCATCCTCCACCCGGAGCGGAGGCGGCCTGCTCGAGTGCGCTATCTGCGTCCGCAGGGGCGCTTACACCACTGGAGCGGCAGCCTGCACCCTAAGTGTGCCATCTGCGCTGGCAGGGGTGCACTCAACACTGGAACGGCAGTCTTGGGCCAGAAAGGCTACAGTGTGCCTAAATGCCGTTCGGGCTCCACGGGGGCGCCTGGCGCACATGATGCACAGCGATCAATGTGCAATCTGGGTCCACAGGAGCGCGCGCGGGGATATCCTGAGCCAGGATGCGCCTGGGAAGCACGCAGTGCGCTCAAATGCACAATCGGCGCCCGCAGGGACGCCCAGGGGCCCAGAAGCGGCACTCGGTGCCAAGAGAAACCGCGGCGCGCGCCAGTGCGCAGTCTGCGTCCACAGTGGCGCCCACGCCACTGGAATGGCAACCTGTGCCCCAAACGGGCGCCGATCCACACGATACAGAGCGCTCCATGCGCAATATGAGTCCGCTGGGGCGCCCGCGCCACTGTCGGGGAGACGTAGCCTCAACCGCAGAAGCGTCGCGGCAGGACCCCTGACAACATATATATAGAGAGAGAGAGAGAGATAAAGTCAAATACAACCAAACTCCGCACATGAAGTAATGTGAGGCGTTTTTGTTCTTATCCCTACAAATTGCCACCTGCCTCCAATCACACAGCGGAGCGCTGATGTTCCAAGAACCGGCAAAGTAGGCCACCGCATCGGACAGCTGAAGATCGAAGCCGACAAGCTTTCCCGACATAGGTAGACAGCCCATTAGACAGTCGGTAAATATGATGAACAGCATCATCGTGCCCAGAAGCACATGGAGCACCGCAAAAACCTGCCAGCTGTTGCTTTACCAAGTCATGCAAACAAGGTGCCATAACAGGAAATGCTGCGCCGAATCTGCACATGACCAATCGCCAGTGGGGCGGGAATGCCCGGAGCAAAATAGCTGCCTGGTGACATCGTCGCCGGCCTTGCGTTGAAAGCCACCTGACTCGCAATAGCGTTCGAAAACAAGACAATGCACCAACAAATCACTTGCTCGATAAGGTGTGCACGCGAGCGTGGTCACTCCAGACCCGCAGTAGAACATTACAAGCAGAGTCAAATCGAGGATGCAAGAGTGCATTTGGTTGTGCTTCCAGGATCTGCTAAACCACTGTCGTCAGTAAACGAGCATGCAAGCGGCGCCACAGCCAATCCACTGGCAACATCGTAACCAACGCATCAACCCAACCAGTCGAAATCAAGACAAGGGCCGAGGAGGTTCCCAAAAATCATGTATCAAACCATCTGAGTGCAAGCCTCGGCCAAGGTAGGGCAAATACCGCTTGGGGGTGGAGTAGTCAGAAACGTTAATAGCCTGTCAAAGTCAGAATGCGAGGAATACAAAAAGCGATCAATCCCCCCAAGGCCGTTGTGAACTGAGAGATGTAGACCGTGTACAGATCCAACTGAAGATGAAAACAAGAGCAACACATAGAGCAACATGGTGTGTAGTGGGCGGTCGAACTGCCCGACGTGCAGCGCCGCGCGGCCCAAGTCCTCCGACAACCCAGACATTGAGGTGTGGCCACAGGCTCCTCCTCCTCCTCCTCCTCCTCCTCCTCCTCCTCCTCCTCCTCCTCCTCCTCCTCCTCCTCCTCCCTCACTACCGCCTCCTCCTCCTCATCATCCCTCCTCCCTCCTCCTCCTCCTCCTCCTCCTCCTCCTCCTCCCTCCTCCCTTCTCCCTCCTCCCTCCTCCCTCCCCGTGACCTGCGCGCCGCCAGGCGGCACCGAGGCGCAGACGTGGACGAGCTCCCCGAGGGCGCTGGCGGCGGGCGGCAGCGCTCAGCCCCTCCTCTTCCCGGCCCGACCCCAACCCGTACACGTGCACCAGCCTCGGCCACAGCTCCACATCGCAAAAAGATCCGGACGGCAAGCTTTTCACTATTTTTGGCCCCGCGGGGCCCTCGCCGGGCCCCACTTGGGAGGAAGCCCGCCTCAGTAACAGCTACGCTGGTTGTAAGAACTTAACAACCCCATGGCAAACACTAGCATCATCCTAACAACATTTAGCAACACACCTACATCACTTGCTGTGTGTCTGTAAATACATACAACACATTAGCATGTTAGGTCAACTTACGTAAGTAGTTGGCAAGTCCGAGCTCACGATGTACAATGTTAGCTCAGGTTGGATGGTCTTAGCTACGGCGGTTGCTAAGTGTTACATAAGCTGACCGTCCAACACAGCATAGGTTGGCTATCTCTTGGGAAGATCTTGGGTAAGTCTGTGTAAGTCAGTTAGCTAACTGTGTTAGCTAAGTGAGTTAGTGAGTTAGCTAAGTGAGTTAGCAACACTTAGCCCCAAGCCAAAAGGCCCCCGAGAGGCCCTCAATGCAACGCTCCGCCTTGCCCATTTTGGCTCAATGTGTGTTTCGGCCTCTGGCTTTCGTATCCTTTGGAGCTGGGCCCCGAGGATCTTCGATCATGGCGCTGGTCGAGCGCGCCCTTGGCGAGGTCAGGGCGGAGCTGCAGCAGATCATCGCCCGCTTCCACAGCGACGGGCAGGTGATCAAGGCCTGGGACAGCATCTTAGATGTGCTGAAGCCCAGGCCCCAGCTGCTCAGGACGACGACGGCGGTGGCCTCCCGCGTCGGCGTCAGCCCCGACAACCGCGGAGGCTTCGGTTTCGAGGTGCGTGGGGAGAATGTGACATCGGGGAAGTGAGAGGATGGGGAAGGAAGAGGAGGAGGAGGAGGAGGAGGAGGAGGAGGAGGAGGAAAGGGAGGAGGAGGAGGGAAGGGAGGAGGAGGAGGAGGAGGAGGAGGAGGAGCTGGAGGAGAAGGAAGTGGAGGACGAGGAGGAGGAGGAGGAGAGGGATGGCCTCAGAGAAAGGGATGAGGAGAAGAGTGAGAAGGTGAATGAGAGGACGAGTAAAGGATGAGAAGGAGAAGAGGGAGGAGGGCTGAGCAAGGGTAAAGAGACTAGGAGGAGGACGAGTGAGAGGAATGATGAATGATGAATGCTACTAGTGATATTGGATGCGGGCCTGTTTTCACTATCCACCCTCCCAGGTTGCCAAGAGCCTCAGCAACCTCGGCAAGCACTGCAGGGCCGGCTGGAGCTACTCTCGTGCGTCTTGCGGTTCGTTCGCAGTTGAGGTGCCGAGTGGAACTCCAGAGGGTGACAAGTGGGTGGACTTCAACCACCGCCTCAGCGTCCAGAGCGGCATCCCGCCACACGACGTCATGGAGCTCGCGAGCTTCGGCGGCACGCACTGCAACGTAGCCATCCGTGCGATCAGCTGCAAGATGACATGCAGCGACGAGTTCATTGCACCATCGGGCTACTTGGACGAGGAGTACATGTGCCAGAAGTGGCCCACCTTGCGCGACGCTCTCAGCAGGGGCCTCGAGTGGCAGGTGCTCAACTACGCCGTCGTGCAGGAGTTCCCAGATGTGCTGTGCATCGGCGTGAGCGCCCTCAACAGGAAGGACACGTCTGATGTGTCCGAGCTGGAGGGCTTACTCACCATGCACTCCTCCTTCGCGCGGGCCATGGCGACCAGCAGCGACGAGAAGGTCGCGTGGGACGCGGCCATGGAGGAGAGCCTGCTCACCAACCCGTTCTGGAAGGACTGGGCCTTGCAGCTGCGCAAGTTCGCGCACGCAGTCCCGCAGGAGCAGATCGTGGAGGTGCGCGACATGAAGACCGCGGTCTTCAAGGCTCTGCATGGCAGGGAAGAGGAGGTGGAGGAGGAGGAGGAGGAGGAGGAGGAGGGGGAGGGCGAGAAGGAGGAGGAGGAGGAGGAAGAGAGGAGGAGGAGGAGGATGAGTGGTGATAAGGGGGTTGTCTCGGGTAGAGGGTCGAGGACCCTAAGAATGAGAATACAGGGCCGAGGATCGCTGACGAGGACGAGGGCTGCGGCCCTCCATCCTCGATCCTCGGCCCGAGTAGTCTCATCAGGTCGCGCTCTCCGAATCCGAGTGCCGATGGCCTCCTTATCATGCGTTCCTCCTCCTCCTCCTCCTCCAATTTTCCATCTCCCACAGGTTCCCCGCGGCGCCTCGGCCACGTTCGGCCACATCGGCGGCTCTTTTTTCGAGAAGCTGGCCAACCTGTCGTGGCCGTCGCTCGTTGTTCCTCTGCAGCGGGTGCGCGTGGCTGTGCTCTTGGCGCAGCTCAACTCGCCCATCGACAAGGTGGTCGACGGCAAGGCTGGGCTCATTCGCGACTCTGATCTCGGCAAGCTGTGCAACAAGGCCACTCTGGACTTGGCGCAAAAGGCTGAGAAGATGATGGACGACGCCCGAGACATGTGCGTCGCGCATGGCATCAGCCTGAGGTCAAAGCTGCAACTCACCTGCGAGAACGACATGCGCCTAGTCCTGCACCTCTTGCGGAAGGGCAAGAGCAGCCGCGAGGGAAAGGACTTTGCCACGTTGGAGGAGGCCGCCCAGGTATTCATCGACGCGCTCGCCGACATCAAGGGACAGCCGATCGACAACCCGTGGATCAACCGCTGTCGGGCGACCGTCAAGCAAGAGCCCAAGGTGATTTCTGGATGCACACGTTCCGACTCCGTCGAAATTCAGCATTGCCCAAAAACCGGGCTTTTTGGCACGGGCGATGGGCGATGATGACGATGGTGATGATGAGGGGGTGGAGGGGGAGGAGGTGGGGGGAAGCAGAACGGGAAGTAGGAGGAGGGGGAGGGGGAGGGGGAGGAGGAGGAGGAGAAGGAGGAGGAGGAAGAGGAGGAGGAGGAAGAGACATAGGAAGAGCTTTTTCATCACTGAAGGTGCGATCCGCGTCGGCAGCGCCGACTCGGAACGCCGCTCTGCTGCAGCAGGTGGAGACGCCTTCCCCCAAGGCGAGCGTCGCCACGCAGCAGATGTCAGACGTGAAGTCTGCGGCCTACCAGATTCAGCGGCTCGGGTACAAGGTCGGCTCGATCATCAAGCCACGGAAGGCCGACCAGAACAGCAGCGCCTGCGCGCTGTGGACTATCAAGGAGATCGGTGAGGCCATCGCCACGATAGCACCGACAGGAGTCCACGCTGATGGCGAACCTCTCGCGCTCGTGTTTGGTAACCTGAAGGGCATGTGGGTGCCCACGACGGCCAAGCCTCAGGAGGTGCTGACGTTTAGCAACATGTTGCCGTCGCTGAACACCAGCTGGCGCATCGAGCACGTGAAGTCTCAGATTTGTTTGTGCCTCACTGCAGCGAGCGAGGAGTCCGAGACAAAGTTCTCGGGGCTCAAGATCTACACGAATCCGTTCGCCATCCAAGCGTTGCAGGACTTCGATCCGAACGCTCTCGTGATGCCGCCTGTCACTCAGCTTGTGAAGCACAGGGACCCGAACACTGCAGCCCCTGATAAGGCTGTCGACCTAGGAGTCCTCATGAGCAAGCCCCCGACGGCATTCCACTTGATGCCGCAATTCGTCACGGGGAAGCAGAGTGGCCAGAACTTCGTCAGCCCATTCTTTTGCGTGCCCACTGATAAATCCCCGAATATGTCCAGGGTCAATGTTTCGTACGACATTCAGCTCACGATGCACCCTGGCGACACCCCTGAGCATTTTACTATCCAGTTTCCAGTGTTGAAGAACACTGCTAAAGTGAAGGCAGGCGCATTTTTGTCACAGGGGTGCGCGCAGAAGCGCACTCGCGTTGGCCCTGACGCCAACGAACAGTCACCCACGAAGCGTGGGCGCTGAACTTTTTTGCGCGTGATGGCGCAACCATTGTGTGACATGCTGTTTCCTGTGCGCAGGCAGAAGCTTGTGGTTCGCTTCTCGTCAATATGTACGTTCACACTGTCTGCATGAACTGTAGATCGCTCAAGTTACCGTTCGCACGCATCGCAGGCTAGCTGCGATGAAACTCGAGCAGGCTGAAGATGAGGCTTGGATAGAGGAGAGGGAGGATTAAGGATATGAGGATGAGGAGGATGTGAAAACCGAGGGGCGGAGAGGATGATGACATGACAAATACGGTGAGGAGACAGTACGAATGCTCGGGAAGACGCGAACTCATTTTGAATTTATTTCCGAGGCGAGCAGCCTCCACGCATTTGATCAACCAGCCATGGCGCTGGAACCCGATGGCTAATCATCGGAGTCAACGGCCCCTGTCGGTGGCTGGAGTTTCGCCAGCGCTTCGCGCACATCAGAGATCACAAAGACTGACAGCCCTTCCTCCAATGTTCTCCCCCCTCTCGTGTTTATAATTCTCCGTGCTCTGACAAACCCCCGAGGGGCTCCGACAGGGCCCAACGCGTTTCCAAGACACGCCAAAGGACGTGCCAAATCAAACCAAGACAAGCCCATGACGACTTAAACAAACTGGTTCCAAAACGGCCTAAGACGCTACAACGCGCATTCGTCTTCGGTGGGTGGATCAATACTCGGTAAGGCAATAAGGTAGACATGTCCTAAGATAAGAGACCCTGGATTCGCATCCACGACATGGGCCTTAATTTACCCACCCACCCCCATCCCCCATGCTACATCCCCACCATCGCGCAGCATGCGCCCCCCCCCACAACAATGTCATCATCCACGTTGCCATCGACCCAAGGGGGGAAGGGGGCAGGAGACATCGCCACATCATGCAAGACATCACCATCATACGTACAGCCATTTCGGCAAGAAGCCAAACTTCGAGGCTCACACTGTGTGTTCCGCTTTCTTTACAGTAAGCTTGCTCCTGCGATGGCTCCCAAAGCGTTGGAGTGCCCCCCCATCGCTTCTTTGAATGAAGTCATCTTCACCAAGACTGTGAACATCAGCAGCCCATTTGGCTATGCATCGTGGGACGTCGAAGTACAATGTGTCGGACGCCAGGAGTTCCAGCTCAAGCGTGGCGACAAGAAGATGCAGGACTGGCTGCTTCGCACCAAGGTGTACTCCACGATCGCCTCCACACTCATTGACGAGCTCATCGAGCTCCAGTCGTCAGCCAGCAAGGGAGAACTCGGAGGTGACGCTGAGACGGGCGATACCACCCAGTTCTGCCGCAAAGCTGGCGTCTCGGCTCTGAAGCGGCTCCAGGAGGGCCACGAGAGCTCGTTGGTCTCAGTCACGCTGCCGTCCTTCAAGACTCCTCTCGGCGAGACCGTGCCCGATGTTAAGACAGTGATGCCACTTAACATCGCGCCCAGCATGGCGATGATCCCCCTCGACCCCAAGGTGCTCCAGTGGGCGTTCCTGAGGGCTCACACGCTCGAGCGCCCTTCCAAGAGAAGCTACGTCAAGGCGCAGGACAAGACTGAGAAGCCTGCAGCGATCAAGCGCCTCAGGGCATCGAGCAGGCAGTTCGCGGGGCCTGATAGTGACACCGAGGCGGCTGCCGATGGAGATGACAGCGCTGCCGCTGGCTCTGAATACAAGGGTCCCTGAGTTCCCTTGTGTCTCTAGGATTTGGATTGAGCTCGCTGCTTTAGCAGCGCCCCAGGAGGAGGAGGAGGGGGAGGAGGAGGAGGTAGGTATGAGGAAGAAAAGGGAGGAGGGAGAGAGAATGAGGGAAGGATGGAGGAGGGAACGCTGCTCAGTCCCTGTTGCGACATGCCTTGACAAGGCATGGCAACTTCTGTCCAGTGCGCTTGCAATCGCACATGCGTGGTGCTGCTAGTCGCGTGTGCGACTGATACCAACATAAGCATCAACACCATCATCACCATCGTCGTCATCATCGTAACCGGTCTTGTTGAGGCCTACGCAACAACTGCACAATCCCGTCTCGCTTCGGGGCTGGGGGTGTGTATTTGGATGGGAAGGTTAAGTGAGACGCTGCCTCGGATCATCTTCACCACGACTGGATTGACCTTTCCCTCGCTGTGATAACAGCGTGATCCTGACTTCCCATCCGTCGGTTGGCTATTCAGGCTATCGTCGTCTCGGCTGGATTCGCCTCTCCCTCGCTGTGGTCGCAGCGCGATCCCACCCCCCCCCAACCGTACTTGGGCAAATCGGGTTGGCGTCGTCACGGCTGGATTTGCCTCTCCCTCGCTGTGGTCGCAGCGCAACCCCGACCCCCCAACAGTCTGTCTGAGTACTGTTTCGAGTGCGTGCTGCTGGCGTCTAAAGACCTCGATCTCCGAAGGAACCATTGCCTTGGTGGTCTCGATTGCGTGTATCTGAAGGAACGTTCGCTTATGACCGACCTCACTTTCTAAAATGAGAAATTGATGCGAATTTCTCATTTGAGAAATTGGGGTTGGTCCGGAACGCCCACAATTTCTAAAATGAGAAAGTGGGGTTATTCCAGACTGACCTCGATTTCTCAAATGAGAAATTCAGGTCGTCCAGTGGCAATCTCAATTTCTAAAATGAGAAATCCAGGTCGTTCAGTGTCAACCTCAATTTCTAAAATGAGAAATTGTTGTACTTTCCATCTGATTTAGTAACAACTGTGAGATCAGTGCTTCAGACCTTGTATGGACCGAATATTTGAGATGATGTAGAGTTGAAATGCATCGTGATTGAATATGCGCCAAGTGATTCCGAACATATCCTGGGGTCCCGTCTTTACGTTTCCCCGTAGTTTAAGAACACCCGAACTCATAGCTCTTATATCCCCACACGATACAATTGATCTACCCCCACTTCCGTGTCAATATCCAACTCATCCTCCATGTTTGGATACTCCTGGTGCGTGTAGCCTATTTTGGCTCAATAATTGGTTTTGGCAGAGCGATCCTTTCTTTGGCGCCCACGCGGTCTGGTGATCAGTGTCACGCTATGTCCACGCTTGAGAAAGTGCTTGCGGAGCTCAAGGGTGCCTCCAACCTGATTGCCACGCAGAGTGACTTGCGCGGTGGTCCAGACAAGATCACCACGCTACGCTCCTCATTATGCTCGTCCTTGTCCAAGATGATTGCGGGTATTTCGATGCCGTTAGACAGCACTGGTGCACAAGAGATTCTCCAGGCAATAATGGTTACGTCCTTCGACGAGACTCAGAAGACATCCTTGTCCAATACAGTGGAGGAGAAGCTGCTCGGTTCCTTCAAGTCATCCAGGCTCGGACCACACGAATTCCAGGCTTGGCAAAAAGGATCGAACCACGTGTTGAACTATTTCACGCAGTCCGATTACGACATCATCAGCGACCCCGCAATTCCTTTCAACTCGCCCTCCAAGATTTCCGTCATAGTCAATCGGCTGTCGCTCGGAGGCATCCACAAACCGAGCCCCCCGATGTGCGCTGATTTGGTGGGCATGCTGGCTTCTCATGCGTGGTCGGACGACATAAATGCGAAGATGCTCTATGATGCTGTGTTCGCGATCGGCAAGGACTTCAACGCCAAGAGGGTCAGTGCCGATGCTGCTGTGGGGAGCCTCCCCATCGTGAGGGCAATCCCTGAATGCCCATACGAATTACCGTCCGAGGTCCAAGCTGCCATGTACCCGAACTCAGCAGACCCGCCCGTCAGGCAAGACATCCCCGCATACCATGCCGTGAGAGGCATGGTCCAGTGCAGGTCGTCGGGAAGGCACGTGAGGGAGCACGTGTCACGTCCCAAGCGCGTCCAGCACGACGTCTCGATGGGCAGTCTCACGGTTGATGAGTTCTTGGCGTCCGCTCAGAGCCAAGGTTTCACGCCGCAGCAGGCATTGCAACAGCTGGCGATGACAGGGCCGCAGCAGCAGCGCCAACCAAGCTGGCACATCGGCGGCATGGCCCACCAGCAGATGCAGCAGCCACTGCCTCTACAATGGCAGCCTCCTGCTCCAGTGCAGCATTCGCACCATAAGCAGCCTCAGCATATTGCAATGGTGCAGCAGTCACACCATGGCGTCGGTGCCCATCAGCATACGCAGCCAATCTCAGCCACTTCTGCCAATGACAGTCAGGCCAGCTTGTTTGAAAGTCAAGGGTCTTCTTTTCTCGAAACGCCTGCCAAGGTCACGGTGAAGCCACCGCAGCCAGCAGCCGCCCCAGCTGGTCAACAGTTTGTTGCTGCCCTCGCTGAGTTCGACAAGGGCAAGGACGCCCCCGACGAGGCAGCTGAAGCTGGGCAGATGGTCAAGGAGATCGAAAACGAGTACGCTGTTATGCTCGCCAAGGCGAAGGCCAAGGCCAAGCAGGCTAAGGTCAACGCAGCGGACATCACTGACTCGAAGGCTGCCGTGGCTGCTGCTTCAGCGGCGGCTGCACGAGCTGAAGAGCTGGGCGAAGACTGTCCAGCTCTCGATGGTGATGAGGACCTCGTGACCACACCAGCCCCAAAGGGGAAGGCCAAGGCTAAGGCCAAAGGCAAGGCCAAGGCCAAGGCGTTTCCTAAAGCGTCCAAGAGTTTCAACGGGCCTGCCAACGGAGCAAGCGTCGGCCCACCTCGTAAGAGGCCAGCGGCTGCCACTGCCTTGCCCGATGCGAAGCGCCCTGCCATGCCCGTTGTGGGCTCTGTAACTTACCTCTCAGGCAGGGTGTCTCACTCAGCTTCTAAGAACGGATGGAGGGTCTGGCCAGACATCGCACACAGGGGCGCCGAGAAGACAGTCCCGTATGGCGATGCACCCGCCAAGTATTTTCAGGAAGCTCTCAACATTGTGAGCGCACATTGGCGCTCGCGCGTATAGCGCAATTTTGTTTTTTCTTCGCACGTTGTGGGTGACGTGCACGCCCTGAACATCAGTACGATTCGTGCCCGTATAGCGTGGGAGTGCTATTGCAGGGAAGCGTTTAGCCAGCTGAGCTGGGCAAGTTGCGTTTCGTATACGTATCCCGAATTAGACCACACGATCTTGCGAGGTGAATGTAGCCATCAGTTGCCACATCAAATCATCGTTACCATCATCCATCCAAACTTGGTCCTGTTCACCCCCCCCCCCTCCCCCAAAACGCATACTGAGGAAGTACTAAAGCTCGAGGGGGCCCCGCAGGCGCCCCGCCCCTAAGGACGCCTCCACGACGCCCCACCCCTAAAGAAAATGCAAAGACGCCCTCAACCTCAGGGAACCCTAACGCGGACACCCCAAAGAAGGTATGCACGAGGTCGCATGGGGCCCAAACAGAAGTCCGAACCAAAGTACGAGATGTCATGACGTTGCACGTGTTGCATGTTGCCAAATAGGATACATTAGTTCCCTTAAGGCTCCCAAGCAAAACCTTATGTAGTGCATGTGCGCAGCGTGTAGCAATACATTCAACATAGCAAATGGCCGACGTGCAGGTCCATGCAGCTTGTCTACGCAGCAGCACAGCGCATTCGCAACATAAGGAAAGAGAGACACCTAAATGCCTCCCACCCTTCTGCGATATCCACCCCTATACCACCAAATCTGGTTCTGCAATGAAAGCACACATCCCCATGTGCCCGTCCCCCCTCCATCACAGTGGTTCCGTCCTCCTCCTCCTCCCGCAGCCGTTTTGGCAGAAGTCCAGTTTTGGACCGATGGAGCGGGCTGCAAAGCTTCGCAGGATTTCCGAGATCCGACACCAGATTCCCCACACAAGTAAGGTAGCCCTTGCTGCGTTTATCAAGCTGGTCAACACGTCTGAGATCCCCGATGCATGCTCTACGGCAGACATCCGCGCAGCCAGGGATCAGCAAGCCTTCCAGAACACACCATACGGGCCTGTGATGTGCACAGTGCACATAGAGAACACCAAGGGGAACCGCATTGCTGTTGACATTGCAGATCCAGTGCCGTACTTGTACGCCCTTGGCAAGTGCAGTCGGTGGCGATATTTCCTCGAGAGGGCGAACCAGCGTGCGCCCTGCTCGATTGACAATCCTTGGAACATCATATTGTATGGGGACGAGGCAAAGCCTGGGAACAAATTGAAGCAATGGAACAAACGGGCAACACAAAATATATACATGTCATTCCTTGAGCTCGGCGCAGCAGCACTCTGCAAGGAGGACGCGTGGCTGTGCATCGGTGTTGTGCGATCTGTGGATGTAGCAGAGTGCGAATCTGGGATGGCCCAGCTGGCTGGTGAAATTCTCATCAGGATATTCAATCCGAACGGCCACGACTTGAGATATGCTGGTGTCCACTGTGACTATGATGACGGGCAGAGCTTCCGCATCCACGCCACGTTGGGGATCGTCTTGGGGGACGAGGCGGCCTTGCACAGCATCTGGCTGTGCAAGGGCAGCGGAGGCATCAAGTGTTGCCTACACTGTGCCAACATCGTGAGCAAAAACTGGGTTGCGGCTGGCGCGCTCGACGGAGCGGTGCATTTGAAGGAGTATTCGAAAGTGTCATCTCTCAGCGAATGTGAGTTCAACACGAAGGCAACTGTGCAGTACATTATCGATGACCTGGCGAGGAGCAGGCCCACCATGAAGAAAGGCGAGTTCAAAGAAAAGGAGCAGCGCCTTGGCTGGACGGATTCTCGTTTCAACATGCTCCGTAGGCCTGAACTCAAGGAGGTGTTGAACCCACCGAAGCAGAACGTGTACGACTGGGCCCACAATTTATTGCAGGGTATATTTCAGCAGGTGTTATTCCTATGTGTGTGGAGTATCAGTCAATCGGGTGTCAAGCCTCATCATATCCTGAAGTTTATGGAATCGTTCTCGTGGCCCAGGCGTCTTTCAAGCAGAGGCGTTTCAGGAATCGATATGTGGAAAACGAAGAGGGCTGACTCGAACTGGAAAAAAAGTTATTGGAGTTGCAGCGCCGCGGAGGCGCTGAGCATGCACCTTCCCCTGGCACATTTCTTTAGGACAATGATCATGCCGAGTGGTATGCATGCTGACGCATGCGAAGCGATGATCTCATTATGTACCCTCATACAGATACATTGGAACACCGCAAAATTAAAGGTTCCAGCAGCAGTTGTCGATAAGGCCACGGAACATTTTCTTCGTGCTTACAAGAAGGCGTTCGGCACCGAGGGGTCATTATGGAAACACCATGCCATCCTACACCATGCCCAGTATGTCTCCAGGTGGGGGTGGTCTCCACACACGCTCCCTCTTGAGCGCAAACACAAATCGATATTGAAGTTTGGGGAGGACCATCAGAAAGATACGAAATCTGTGATCCGCGAGGTTGTCGCAGAAAGCTTCCACAACCTGCATGACGCTCCTTGGC